GCCAGAAAACCACCAGCGGCGAGAGCAAAGCCAGCTCAGCAGCACGCCACGTCCTCCCGGCCAGCCAGCGAGGCGCCCCGTGCCCGTGGGGATCCTGCCACCGCTGAAGCCACCTCCACCAGCTCGGCGTGGCCGTGACTGCCCTTGGCGCTCTGGCACAGGGCAAGCGGTAGGGAACAAACCAGCAATAAGCCATAAAGCTTTCCTGATGCTTCTGTTTGGTGAAATAGGGCCTTGCTGGCGACAACTGGGGCTGGTTCATCCCATCGCCCCGTTACAAGGGACCACGCCGTGGAGAAGCATCGCCTCTGCGGCTGTGAACGAGCTCTACCGTGAAAGCAGCACTTCCCTTATCTGCAGGCATTTACAAGTAAAGTCCAGGGAACAACGTCTTTATTTTATTTCAAACTTCATGGGAACCTGAAGAATCTCATTTCAAACACAGCATAATAAGCAAGACTTCAGCTAAGTCACAATTCAGCTTAAAAAGCAAAAGTAATGGGAGGTTATAGAAGACCTGACCACTTGTATATATTCAGCTATGCTTATATTGCTCTACATTTTTATTTGTTATAAGCTGCAGTACCTATAAATGACACCATTTGTGTAGGTGAAGGAGAATAGGGAAAAGACCTGAATTGGAAAAAGATTAAAATTCAAATCAACGCTAGGTTTCTATAAAAATTAAGCAGAAGAAAAAAAATCCCACCTCTAAAAATTTACTTCCAAAACTGTGTAGATGACAGCACTCCACACACACCATTTCAGTTACGGACTCTTAGGAGAATGTCCCTTCATGCAAAGGTTTTTAGTGAGATACGACGGACTTGAGAGCCTACCCCATCAGCCAGCATTCCCTCTGCCACGGGGACAGGGGGGAATTACTGCCAAAACCCACGCACACAGCAGATATAGGCTCTTTTTTTGTTACCACCATAACTTGTTTCAAGATCTTCAGACAGCAGTCAGAACCCCTGGTTAAACAGAGATAAACGCACACATTCGTACTGTCACATCAAATGCACGTGTACACACAGGCCCGCTGTGGCGACTGCAAAATTCAATCCCATTAACAGTAACTCGATGGATTTGGTGAAACACTCCCCCGAGCTATTCCTTAGGCTGAAAGTCACCAGGCGAACTTCATGCTTCACTCAAAAATAAGCAGTTACTAGACTTAAAACAGAAGAAATCCCCCCAAAAACCCCAACCCCAAAACAGGAAAACATTTTGAAAGACGTTTTCTAGAACTGCGATTATCCCAGAAGTGTCTATGGACAGAACCGAAAGAAAACTACATCCTGCAGGTCGGTTTTGGTATTGGTAGCACCTTTGCTCCATCAGCATGAAAATGCCCATTTTTAAATGCCGACAGCATAGTTAGGAAAAGTAACAGAGTAGACATTGATGTTTTCATCATTTTAAAACCTTAGAACTAAAGTGTTCCCTGAAGAAAAAAAAAAATACTTAAACTATTGCAGGTGGTAAGGCACACCAGGGGGCATTTCGTTACGTGCTGCAACGCAAACCAGTTGCTCCAGGTTGGCAATTTTTCAGCTGCTCACAACGTAAATCGCGCAGGGTAACGACGGCTGTGGTGCAGTAGATCTTTTCCTAAGAAAGTTTGTGTCAGAAGCTCCGCAGGTGGCACCGGGGACTCACCCGTCTAACCTCACGTCGGGCAAACTCCGGTTCAGGGCGATCAAGTCACTGGCCATAAGGTTAAACTGGTTGATTTTGAACAGCTCTTTCATCTTCTCCTGGTCGTCCTTGGGAATGAGCACAGCCTTTCCCATCTCTCCAGGTCCTTCTTGGTTTCGAGAAATAACAGCTGTAACACAGAAGAGCAAAAGCCAAACTTTTAGTGCGTGGGCGGCACTTTCGTTCTGCACCAGCAGGGCTCTGCAACGTCTGGTGTGCAACGAGCAATGTTAAAAAACACCCAAAAACCCCCAAACCACCACACCACGGTTTTCTCTATGCCCCACTGTGAGGGTTTATCTCTACCTGGATGCGCATTTATATCTAATTCCCTTCTAAGATGATTAAAAAAATCCCAGATTTGGTCACTTGCAGCGTTTGGCTGTAACCACGAGGACAGTAAGTGACTGTTCTCAAGAGATGCACACCAGGATTACAGAGCATGGCACTGGATTCTCTGCGAGATTCTGCAGACAGAAGAGGTTTGACTTTTATAGCCATTGAAAATATTTGAAGAACACGTGTATTAAACTCATTCTAAACAACTGCCTGTATTTTTTTATTCAGTTTTAACTAGCAGGCACGTTCTAGCATAATCCCACCCCTAAGTAAATCCATTTTCAGTGACAAAAAAAAAAAATCCATCCTGAAATATACAGAATCCCAACCCTGAGGGAGCATCTTTCACACACTATTAGAGAGTAGTTTTGAGAAATATTTGTACAGCCCATTTTGAACCCTAAGGAAACCACAGCATCACCTCATACAAGCGCACAACACCGGACAAGACGCAGACTGCCTATCTAGGAACTGGACGTGAAAAGGAAGGCAACACCCCACGTACACAAACAATTACAGCCGTTACTGTAAAGCAAACGCTTCAGACGAAGGATGACAGGCTCACCACCCATCTCCTTCCCCGACCCCAGCGCGCAGCGACGCAGCAGCAGCCTCTTTCCGCCACCCGGGCGCTGCACCCGCCAGCAGAACGAGGAACGCTCCGTTTCACGCCCGCACTCCAACCACCCTCCGGGCTGGCCCGTTAATACCGATTAATCTGTCTCCAGCCAGGCCTGTCCCCTGCTCCTCCCATGGACGAGCAGAGCTCAACCCTCCAGTGACCGCGGTCCTGCAGGAGGCAGCTCACACACGCCGCCCTGCTGGGGCCGCCCGTGCCGTACTGGGCAGGAACTGGTGCTGGTGGTGACCTTCAAGCTGGGTACTTCTATGCCACATCCTGACACCACCATTTTATCTTAACGAAGGGACCTCGGTTTTATTTTTCCGCCACCACATTCATTTTTCATCTTTAGTATCAAAATTACTTTCAAACATTTGATGCTTAATATCCTGACGGACTGTCACTTAGGAGGGCTTCTCTGCTAGCTGAAGAGCAATTAAATCATTTATTTCTGCAACCAAAAAAATAAAATGCTAGAAGAACAAACCTTTTTCTACAGAATGCACAGGAAGGAGACTAAGTGACTTTTTAAAGACAAAAAAAATCTACGTTTTTTCCAAGCAAATCAGCCACCATAGCAGAACAACCTCTGTGGTGAGACACTGGAACAACTAGCAGAAATTTACAGAAAAGGCTTTTTAAAGATAAATATTACAGACTCTGGGCACAGAAATTTTGTTTCTGCAGTTCTCATTTATGCTTCAGTCGAGCAAAGAACATATTGCAGTATTGCCTGCTCTGGGTTTTACCCCTCCCTTGGATCAGATGGAGCACCTTTGCAGGCTGCAACAGGGAGGACCCGCTCGCCTTCGCCGTGACGACACGCGAGGACGGAATTGCCGTCACAGAGACCCTCACGCCTCCAACATGGCGACTCCGAAGCCCTCTGCGCCCACCCCGAATCCCGAAGGATGGCAGGCTCGGTGGGTAACGCCCGGCAGGGTCCCCCCGGGGGCTGCCCAGGCTGCAGCACCGGCACCCGAGGCTGGAGATGCTCTTCAGCACCTTTCTCCATGTCTGAGCAGAGCTGCTGACGCCTCTCGCCCAGCTCTGGGGAAGGAATTCATGAGTCCACTGCTGTTCCCTCACAGGCAGGATTTTATCTCGGAGGGTACATCTCAGTCAAGACCATTTAGAAGCACCACTGGAAAGAGATGAAGTACGAGAAGAACATCGCCCTGCTGTGCTGTGGGCTGCCTGCTGGCACAGCGCCGCCCCTCTGCAGCCGCGCCTCACCCGCAGCACGGCTCGGAAACCTGCGCCGCACACCTACACGCGCAGCTGAACGTTCTTTATGCTGTTAAATCCCTCTCGGTCCATTTCATAAGGTATATTTATGTAACGTGCAACCCGAATAGAAAATATTTGGGATTAATGGCCAGTAATTAAGCTTCGCTACATCACCACTTTCTGGAGAAATGGCGAGACTCCTCAGAGACCCCAGTTTGAAGAGCCATTTGCTCAAGCTGCAAATGTTGTTTACAGAAATAAATTCTGCCTCCTTTTTGCTGGGAGAGGCTGAGGGCACAAATTAATCTGAACAGCAGGAGGGAGCAGGCAAAGGGAGTCAGCCTGACTGCTGAAAGCACGGGAAAACAGGGAAGAGGCACAGAAGGGAGCTTGGCCAATGCCTTTCTCCCCGAGAAACACAACATCAATGGAAAGGAAGGAAATCCTCAAAAGAAGGGATGAATGCTTCTGCAGAAGGAAAGGAGCGATGAGGAGGGAAAGGAGTTTGTCCTTGTGGCATCCTTCAGCCCAGTCGTCTTCCGGAGGAGGAATTATTTGGTTTTCTGCCTCCAGAGCTGTACTTAAGGGGCTGTCCCAGCTTTACAGATCCTAGCCAAAAGAGCAGGACCACCTCTGGAATACAGCACCAGCACGTACATCACCTGCCCGCCCGGGCAGGGAGCCCCCTGCTTCACGTTCAGATTGAGGTGGGCAGAGAGAGGGGACCCCAGCATCGCGTGAGGGTGGCGAGACCCTGGCCCAGGCTGCCCAGAGAGGCTGTGGCTGCCCCCTCCCTGGCAGGGCTCAAGGCCAGGCTGGATGGGGCTGGGAGCGACCTGCTCTGGTGGGAGGTGTCCCTGCCCAGGGCAGGGGGTGGGACTGGGTGGGCTTTAAGGTCCCTTCCAGCCCAACCTCTTCTGTGGTTCTATAACTGCATGTGACGTGAAAGCTGGAGGAGCACGTTGAAGCAGAGCACTATGTGGCGCCCAAACTAAACGCCTCTGAAACAGTAAGGCAGCATACCAAAAATGTTTTTATTTTCTGCTGAAATACTTCAGGATCAGCTGAAAAATAATCTTGGGGACAATTTTCTCCTGGAGAAATTAGAAACTTTTCATTAAAACAATTTATTTAAGGGGGGAAATAAAACCAAACCAAAACAAAAAACAATTTAGCAGCTCATTATCGGCACAGTCATTATTACAACAGTAAATTTGCTGCCTCCCCTTGTAGTAAGCCAAATACCAAACCTGTATCCCCCTGTGGAATACCCACAGGTTTCATACTCTAAGCCCACGTAATAAGACGACAGCTGTAGAGGATGTTATGCTCCAGTGTAAACTCACTGTAAATTCATTAGAAACCCCGCTGATTTGCAGTGTGCCATCGCAGGGACTGGCATTAAACTCAGCCTGAAAAAACTTTTGTTTATTCTGCTTGGAAGCATGAGTTATATATTCCTTCATCTGCAAAACTCATTTTCATTACAAGATTCTGCGTTCTCCCATTGTTTACTAAGGCCCACCGAGATGGAACTTCAGAGAGATCTCCCTGTCCTGAAGTTTAATATAAAACTAATCAGAAATTTCCTAAACAGCCTTTCCACTCTCATGGTTTTATTCAAAGCAAAGTATTATCAGATTACATTTCAATCACAGCTTACACAGATCTGTGATGGAGGAACAGATTTAATTCTGCTATGGTTAAAATGCAGCAACCTCAGCTTATTAAATCTTTAGAGAAGCTGCACACGGGTTATGAATTACCAACCACATATCCACGAACGTTTTCAGAGACGTAACCTGAATCCATACCCAGGGCTGTTTCGTCTTGCATTTTCTCTCCCACATTTGAATAAACATGTTTTGAGCCCAGAGACTCTGTAAGAAACAGTCCTCAACCGTCCCAAACCCGGCAGACAAAGCACGCCACAATCCAACCGCACTCAAGAATATTCAACTGTATTCAAAAAACAACACTTTCCATTTTCCAAACTATATGCAAAATAGTAAAGTAAGAACCAAGTAATTAAACACCACAATACCAGAGATGGCAGGAATATTTAGCAATTTATTAACTTTTGCAAATAGTCGATTTGACCAAATTTTTCATAGAAAACTGCATCCTTGCTAGCACTGAATAGATCTGAGAGTCTAATGATGCCATCAAAAGTTTTCTAACACCAGGTATGTCACCGAAGTCGACTTTCTAAATGCACAAAGCCACTATAAATATTTCTACTGCTGTTATTTATCCAAAGCAAACAAAACAATCTTACTGTTTTTCCAGATACTGTCATTTCACCACATTTTTATGTTCTGCTTTACCCCCTCTAGGAAGGCCAGCCATACCTCATTAGTTCAGCATACTTCAAACTTTTCAGAATCCTTTATGAAATACCAAATTTGTATTCAAGTTTCCACACCAAAATCTTTATGCAAAATTCACACACGCACACTCTTCAATCAGGGAACATAAACATAACACAGAATCCCTTCGTCTAGAGCATTAAAAAAAATAAATCTGTTTCTTAAGTATTCAGAATGTGTGACTGGTAAGAGAGGCAACAATCAGTGAATGCACACTGCCCATTACGGATTACTCCACCTGTACTGGTGTTTATAAGCTAAACGAGCATAGCAAGCAATTCCCTGACAGTCTACATCTTCAAAAACATCACTTTGAATTTACTGCCAAAACCACCTTTTCTAGACAGCTTTTGTACCGCTTTTTGACAGCGGCGTGAAGATCGCTGGCTTTACGAGACTCGGCAGTGAGGAACAACTCCGTCCCTCTGCAGCGGTCACGGAAAGATGGGTCTTCACAAACAGGGGCTGCCCACGGCTTCTAAAAATAATCACACAAACCCTCCAGCTAGGTGAAGTCTAAGATTTTCCAGTCCCTGCTGCCTCCAGGTTTTCTCCCCGATGGAGAGAGCC